TAGTTCAGGCAAAAATTAGGGAAAATAAAAATTGCAAAGAAAGGACTACAAAGAAAAGTCCTCAGTAAAGAGCAAATTGGTGACTACAAACACGAAGACATGAGGGTGGTTTCTACTCTGAAATCCTCTTCGTTTCCTTGACCGTCACAAAATCCTTTTGAGAGATGAACACTCATGTTGAATTAACTGAACATAGGGTTGGAGAACATCATGAAGAATGGGTGGGCACCAAATACTTTGAGCCTTAAAATCTTTTTTCTAAAAACCATGAACCAGGCCACGTTACAACCTTCAAAAGTCCTAATTGAAGCAAGGTTATTTTGAAAGCATACTTCAATGAGATAGTGTTCCTGACTCCCATGAATGATCTAAATAGTTATGTTGGTATCATATGTTTTTCCTATACGAAAATAAATGATGCTCTAACTCGCAAAATTCGTGCGATATCTTTTCAAAATCTTCAAGACTTACATAACTGTTGCATTAGAATTTTCATTCTCATAATAAAATTTTCTAACTGCAAAACATTTGTTTGATATCAAGGAAACTCACATATAAGCACCAATGATGAGTCAATTCTTAAGGCTTGAAACTCTGTTGAGTAATTGGCGGATCATTTCAAGAAAAAAAATCATATGCAGGGGCATGTCAGCTGAAGACCTTCAGCACAGACATGTTGCTTCTCCCAGTTAATGCTTTCCCAACTTCTTTACCCTTTTTTTGGGGCAAAATTTGAAGACTTTGTTGTACCAACTACAGTCAATCTGGGGAAATCACGTCGAGATTCGATGAATCTCTCTAAGAGTTTGAAGACACCAGAGCATGGTGAATGCCAGGTCTTTTGTAAAATCCTCTTGATACGATTTCTTTTCATCAACCATTTAGCTTGGGGCATTTTAGAAGTGAAGTTATTCGCAAGAATTGTCGTGCATCACGCAGCTTATCAGCAGTAAACTTGGGGCATCCAAAATTAGTCCCACGGGCAATCCAGATTTGTCAAGATATGTTTTGCACACATTATCAGAGGGTGGTGTTCCCAGTATCTCCAGCTAAGCAAGACTTCTTTCCAGCTGAAACTTTGTTTGTGTTGTTATCCTTTCAATGGATTGTCGACAATAGAAGACTGGACTTTGGGTTTTCTACCTGAAAATATCTTCCTCTCCAAAGAGATTTAAGCCTTGTAAAAGGACTTTGCTCCAATGAGGGCTTTTATTTTTATCTCCAGTAATGTTCCCCTTTTGTTGAGATTAGCTGAGCGTCGGGTTGTACTGGGACGTCTTATCATCTTCTGTCTATCTCCCATGTCTGTTTTATCAACATATACATGACATTCATTCATTCGTTCATACTTGCATCATGCACGCACATTTGTATTTGTTGATATCTTTGAGTTCGTATACCTTGGTTATGTCTATTCAAATAGCATATTTGATCTTTCCAAATAGAGTGTCAACTTAAGCAGAAAGTGCGCCTCTTTTCTAATTCCCCACTGAGTTAACTCTCGTGGAAGAATCTTGCTTTAGCTTTCCTTTTCCATCTCTGGATATGATAAATCCCCATTTGAGTTGTTTCCTCATTGGGTGGAGTCTTGTTTGACTATTTTCTCTCCAGTTTATTCCTGGATTGAGCTTTGTCTCTTGTGAACGATACCTTGTGGATCTCTCTAGGCTGTGAAACCTAGATGGAGAGTGAATTTATTTTGCAACGTAAATACTTGGTCTCCTCAAGAAGGATTTATTCATGGTTCCCCATTGAAGATGAATTTTATTCCCCAGTAGTGTTATCACAACCTTCTTCTGGAATATCGACGTGACAACAAGCGACTGACTCCTTATCTGAGCGGTCTGATTATTTCTTAATTTCTTTATGTTATGACAAATGGCGGTATCCTCATGAGCAGTTTGTCCATCCTCGATGAAATTATTGATTCTCACCTCCAGCAATATCTTCATGATATTTTATGGGTATCTTTTATAAACAGCAAGCAGCAATCTCTTCATGGACAACTTGTATGTTATCAACACTTTTAAAAACGGCAAGCGGCAGTCTCTTCATGGACAACTTGTATGTTATCAACACTTTTTGAAAACGGCAAGTGGCGGTCTCTTCATGAGCAGCTTGTACGGAAAACGGCAAGTGGCAGCTTCTTCATGAGCAGCTTGTACGTTAGTATTTTTTGGAAGACAGCAAGTGGCAGCTTATCTATTTGAGTAACTTGTGTGTTATTGTTCTTTGAAGACAGCAAGTGGCAGCTTCTTTATGAGCAGCTTGTGGGTTTTTGGCAAGAAGTGGCGGACTCTTCATGAGCAGCTTGTGTGCTTTAATATTCTTTGAAGACAGCAAGTGGCGGTCTCTTCATGAGCAGCTTGTATGTTATTGACACCTTTGAAGACAGCAAGTGGCGGTCTCTTCATGAGCAGCTTGTATGTTATTGACACCTTTGAAAGGAAGCAAGTGGCGGCATCATTATTTGAGCAGCTTGTGTATCCCCAACAATAATGTCTACTCAGCAAGTGGCAGCTTATCTATTTGAGCAACTTGTGTGTTATTGTTCTTTGAAGACAGCAAGTGGCAGCTTCTTTATGAGCAGCTTGTGGATTTTTGGCAACAAGTGGCGGACTCTTCATGAGCAGCTTGTGTGCTTTAATATTCTTTGAAGACAGCAAGTGGCGGTCTCTTCATGAGCAGCTTGTATGTTATTGACACCTTTGAAGACAGCAAGTGGCGGTCTCTTCATGAGCAGCTTGTATGTTATTGACACCTTTGAAGACAGCAAGTGGCGGTCTCTTCATGAGCAGCTTGTATGTTATTGACACCTTTGAAAGGAAGCAAGTGGCAGCCTCATTATTTGAGCAGCTTGTGTATCCCCAACAATAATGTCTACTCAGCAAATGGCACCCCTTCGAAAAGTCCCGTGGGGAAGTTTGGTATTTTATCCTTTTCAAGCGATATCTTGGTTAGAGAAGAAATGTGTTACCGTTCTTGGTAAAATTCAGAAATCAGAGATGTTTATCTCCAGCCACAGTGCTGATGTCAATCATTTTGTTTTCCAGCCACAGTGCTGATGTCAATCATTTTCCAGTCTCAGTACTGATGTCCATCATTTCCTTTTCCAGTCACAGTGCTGATGTAAATCATTTCTTTTTCCAGTCTTCGTACTGATGTAAATCATCTCTTTTCCAGTCTCAACACTGATATAAATCATTCAAGAGTCTCTCATTTGAAGTCTATGACTCTGTTTCCCCAGTGGAGTTACAACCTCTTCCTCTGTGGGATTACTGTATAATGTGCTTAGTTTCTCCAGCATAGTTTGTCTCATATGGCGTCATTCCCCATAAAATTCAGAGCATTACATTCATATCATATCATGAACATAATCGCGGTATCTTAAGGCCAAAAATTGTGTATTCTATATTTAAGTCCCTTCAATCTCGTCGAAATGAAGATCCCAATCTTCATATCTCCAGATAGAAGAAACTTAAATAGGGGCAGCTGTTGTACCCCAATTTTTGACCTAAGATCCCATTTTTATTTTTTGCATTTTTTAAGATAAGTCAAGGTCACGAAATACGGTCGGTTTTAACGTCTCACCTTCGAGCATTGACTATGCGAAGTTTGTCAAGTGTTTTGAACATTTTTAGCCTATGTATCACTAATTTCTAATCGCATACAAAGGTGTATGTTCATGTTTTCTTTTGTTTCATGTGCAGAGACAGGTCTGAATCAAGAGCATCAGGTGTCGCGCCTCAATTAAGGTTTTGAGTCTCCCAAGCCAGAAGTACGGTTGATTGTGGATTCTCGAAGACTGATTCATCAAGGCACAACTGTTGCACCCTAAATTTCGCCCCTAATATGTTTTAGTCGCACTTTCATATCATATTTTGTTATTTGGTCACAATCATTAGTAAATATCTTCATTCATCACATTTTGCATCATTAATCGTATTTAAGTTGACCAGAAAAGTCAGTTTAAATCAAAGTTTGCATCGTCTTTCAGTTGTAAAATACCTGACATTTCACTTCATGCATTTTTATCTCTTTACTCGTTTCTTGCATTGCTCCAAGTTGTTTATATGTCGATAATAAAAATATTTTGGTTTTATAGACAAACTGTTAAAAGCGATTCAACAATGTACGAAAAATTAGTGAGAAAATATTTCAAGTTTTCACCTTTTACCGACCATTTTATGAATCTGCATCTCGCATAGATTATGACGGTATGCTCGCTTTATTTTTTCGATACAGTTTGAAGTCTCGTTTTTAACCGTAAAACGTCTGTTTAGCCTGGTATTTTCATTATCATTTTATTCCTATTTTTACTCTTTTTGAATATTTTTTCTTTAATCTTTGTGACATGTAGAGTATTTTAACGTGTTCATTTTATTTTTTTCGGATAAATTTCCGTCCGTTTCTTTATTGTTTTCGGTCATTTTAGCTCTTTATTTTTTATTCAAAAAAATTATTTTTAAATTGAATTAATTTTAATACTTTCAGTTTTTATTCTATTTAAGGGCGTTTTTGTCATAAAAAAAATTAAATACACCTTGCTCTATTTTTATTGGTTGATAACTCAATTTGCGGATTAATGATTTTGAACGGTTCTGATCAATTCTTGAGATCAATTTTCCTCTTCATTGTTCTATTTAAAGGTCTCTTATTTTCTTTGCAAAGGGGGACACAACAAAAAATACAACACAGTAAACCACTTATCTTTCTCTCCATTCCCAAAACAGCAACTTCAATCTCTTACACCAAAAACCTACAAACAAACAACATCATCGTTGCACCATTTCTCTCTCCAAAAACAACAACAATATTTTATCTTCATTTTCTAGTCCCACAATAAAACATCACAAACTAGTTCACCAAACCAAAAAAAACATCTCAAAGTCACGCTTTCTCTCTTTTGTTGAAACACATAAAACATAAACATAAAGAGTTGTTTTGTTTCTTATTAGTAAAATTGTATGGCTTATCACAACCAACATCTTTCACAAGAGATGCCAATCCACCATTTCACAGACCAATCTAACAACAACACTTTTCGTTCCATTTTACCAGACTCCCCCGACCCTAACTCCAAACATGATTCCGACCCAAACCAACTCCACCAACCTACATCCTCAAAGATGTTTCCCTCACAGCTTACCCTTCTGAGATTCTCGCCATTGTAGGACCAAGTGGTGCAGGAAAATCAACCCTTTTAGACATTCTTTCAGCTCGAAGATTACCCTTAAGTGGGACACTTTCACTTAACTCTTCACCTATTACCAATCCTTTCAACATTCAGAAAACTCTCAGCTTATGTTCCTCAACATGATGCGTGTCTTCCTATGTTAACCGTTGTCGAAACTTTCGCCTTTTCTGCTTCTCTTCTTAAGCCTAAAACAATTGATATTTCTTCCATTGTTTCATCTCTTTTGAATGAGCTTAGACTAACACATTTGGCTAACACAAGGCTTAATCATGGTTTATCTGGTGGTGAACATAGAAGGGTCTCTATAGGACTTAGTCTTCTTCATGATCCTGCTGTTTTGTTACTTGATGAACCTACTTCTGGTCTTGATAGTTCATCTGCTTTCAAAGTCATGCAAACTCTTAAATCAACTTGTGTTTCATATAATAGAACCATTGTTCTTTCCATTCATCAACCAAGTTTCAAGATTCTCTCTTGCATTGATAGAATCTTACTTCTTTCAAAAGGAACTGTTGTTCATCATGGAAGTTTAGCTTCACTTCAATCCTTCTTGCATTCAAAAGGATTCACTGTTCCACATCAGCTTAATGCATTGGAATATGCTATGGAAATATTAAACCAATTGAAAGAGGGAAAAAGGAAAGGAGGAGTTATGAACATCTTGTCGCAGTATCCCTCGCCGGCATCTTTCTCCTCTGACCATGCCTTCGTACAACAGATTGCGAGCAGCTCCATCCCGCAGATCCGGACCACACTACAACGCTCCAGACTCGACAACCGCTGCGACCTCACACAAGCAGCCGCTGAAGCTCCCTCCACGCAAGCCACCCGTCTCAACCACAATATCTCCATTTCCACTCCCTTTGTCTCCTCTCTGATGGATACTGTTTCAAAATCTTCTATGGCTTCTGCAATGGCCGCACTTGGAGCTGCCTTTGGTTCAACACATATCTTTTTCCATCAAGGCAAGGGTCAACTCACCATTAAATGTCACCTTCTACCTTTATCCGCTATGACAGTCTGCTAATACATTTTTGCACAATTTGATATCAGTTTTGCTATAAGGTACAACTGCTTTTTCTATTTCCCACACCCATGTATACTCAAGTTACACATTATAATATAGTTTAGCTTCAAGTACAATACACTTAACATACTATTTGAACGAGTATTTTAATGATGACATCTCATAACCTGCACTAGCATGACACACTAACATGTAAGAGTCATTTTCTATGACAATTGATTTATGTTTAAAAAAATATATAAAAAAATATTAGTAAATCTTATATTTAGATTTAGTTTAGTATTAATTTAGAATTTTTTTTAATTAGTTTAGATTTAGTTTATAACTTTGAAATATTTAGAATCATAATTAATAACTTTAGAATTTTAATTCAATTAGATATAAATTAGTAATGTTAGAACCTTTAATTAGTTTAGGTATATTTTGATAACTTAAAAATTTTAATTTGTTTAGATCTATTTTATAACTTTAGAACTTCCAATTAGTTTAGATACATTTTGATAACTTTAGAATTTTAGTTTAATCTTAGAATTTTAATCTTTAATTTAGAATTAATTTAGTTTTGATTTAAGTTAGTAATTTTATTATTAATATAGTTTAGATTAACTTAGTAATTTTATAATGAATTTAGTTTATACTTAAACTAGTTTAGATGTAATTTAGCAACTTTAGAATTAATTTAGTTTAGATCTAATTCAGTAATATTAGAGTGTTAATTTATTTTAGATTTAATTTAATAACTTTCGAATTTTTGTTAGTAACTTTAGAGTTTTAATTTAGTTTTAGTTAATAACTTCAAAATTTTATTTAGTTATACACTTTAGAATTCAAGTTTAGTTTACTTAGTAACCTTAGAATTTCAAATTAGTTTAGATAATTTTTTAATTACACTTTTCTTTTATTCATGACTCGTCTTTGTCCATTCATTTAATTTCTTACGATTTATCTTGTTATCTACCTTGTTCGTTTCTCGTGGATTTTAATTATTTACGATTTCTTACTCGAATATTAGATCTACCTACTTATGATTAACTCCAAGGAAAAGATTTAAATTTGTTGACTTCACGTCATCAAACATCTTCTACAATCGTGCGAATAGCCTCATTCATTTTTTGCTTGTTTACTATTTTTCCAAACTTAAGATAATTTTCCCAAAAGACTCCATTTTCAAATTCATACCTTTTAAGTCAAAATTTAGACACTAGGTCTTCGTATCTTCAAAATCTCTCCAACACCGATTTTTAGCCAAACGAACCATTTTAATCAAAAAAACAATTTTAACCAAAAACAGATATTTCAAAAGGTTCCTGCGAAGTATCGTAGATGCATTGGGTGCTAATACCTTCCCATTGTATAACCAACCCCCGAACTCTCGATCTTTTTTCAAAAACGCATTGTATTTTTATTACTTTTAAGTATTATTTTACATTGCATATCTTAGGGTTTTATTTCGCTCTTTTCCCTTTTCCCTTGGAAATAATAAAGCGCGGTGGCGACTCTTGCTTTGGTGAGTCAAGTTAATTAATAGCTTGATCTCCGATTTTCACCGCTACAGGTCCTTGTTTGGGTTTGTTGTAAATCCTACTCCCGGATTTGGGGCACCTTCTTAGGTAAATAGCAATAAAACTGTGAGGGAACTGTGCGGGGTATACCGACACGATTGAAGCAGTAAGCTATGTTAGTGTGACATATTTGTGAGTACCGGTAACCCTTGAGTTCAATCAAGGAGAGTACGGGGCCACTGAGTGATGTCGTGAAGCACTAACGAACTCTTAGAACCTTACATGACCATCCTAGCCTTTTTAGGGGTAGTGAGATGACCGACTTTGGTGCAGTCTGAAGTTGGTAGATACTCGATACTACACTCATTGAGGGTTGTTTTCTTGGAATATTTTGGTCGCCAGTTAAGTGGCTAATCCAAAACAATGAACACAGAAAACAATCCAATGATATTGAGCTCCTTAGAACCCGGTTTCTATTTTAGGACATGATGAGCCAACTAACTTCGAGAGGGTACTTACCTACAACCCCATGTAAGCCTAAACCTAAGGACTTGTTTGCTTTGTGTGAATATGATTGTCTGTATATACACTCACTCATTTGCTTTTGCATACATGTACATAACATCATAACATCATACCATAGCATTTTCAACAACCATTTCAAGGATCTCGAGGGTTCTTTTGATGCAGGGTTACGTTGAACCAGCCGGCTACCGAAAGGCAAGAGGTTTCTCCTCTAAACAAATGCCGTCAAAGATCAAGTGAAACAACTTGAATCAGGGGCTATGACCCACTTGACATGGTGAGCTTGATTCTTGTGGAAAGACATCCACCGGTGCAAAGTTCTCCAATCAAAGATCAAGTGCAACAACTTGAATCAGGGGCTATGACCCACTTGACATGGTGAGCTTGATTCTCATGGAAAGACATCAACCGGGGCAAAGATCTCCAATCAAAGATCAAAGTTCAACCTCTAACATTCTCTTGTGTTTACCCCAAGAGATCCTTGAAAGCATGCATCCACATATCATGCATTGCATCATAACAGTTTTTCCTTTTTCAGGTTTCCTTACTCTCATAATGTTTATTTCAATAGAGATGGCTCTAGAAAGGACTGTCAAGGATATCCAGGACCAGACTGCTCAGCTGCAGGAAATGTTCTTGAACCTGTCACTGGGGCAAGAAGAAGTGAAAGCTCTCCTGACAAAGGGCTTGGTCCAGGAGAATTCAAACAATGCCAGGAGTGATCAGTTGGGGGAACTGCAGTTTGAGTTGGCAACATTGAGGATCCAAGTGATGGGACAGTTGGTAGGCCAGATGGCCCTTATCCAGGACTTGTCTCAAAGACAAGAGGAACTCAGAGTTCTCGTCAACCAACTGTTTCGGAATAACCAACTGGGGCAAACATCTGAGGTTGAAGAGCAAGTCACCTCTCAACCCCCCTCCATCCAAGAAGACAAAGGGAAGGCTCCTTTGCTTGATTCAGGGTCACAACCCCATCAATAACCTCGCCAGCGTCAACGGGGTAATCGGCGTAATCAAAATACGTCGAGAAGACAGTTCACAGAGACTGACATACCGTCATCTCTGATACTGGAGCGTTTGTTGGAAGTCAATCTGACTGCTTTGAGGGATCCTATCCGGAAGCCCAATACCTCCGCTCCTAACTATCATCCCGATGCATTTTGTGTATACCACTCCTACAGCCCGGGACATGACACCGACGACTGTTGGGCCTTGAAGAACAAGATTCAAGATCTGATCGACATTGGAGTACTGAGGTTCATGCCGGACGGCGAGATGAAAATCTTCCGTTAAGGGTTTCCCCACCTGAAGTGACAAAGCTCAAACTGAAAGACTTTTGCTTCGTTTGAATTTTCAAAGTTGTAATTTCTTTTGTTATTCAAACAATTAACTGTTGATGTTAAACTCTGTTTCGTTAATGCATTGCATATGTTTGTCTTGAATCCATCCATTTGTTTTCACTACTCTTATGCTTTCTGTATGATATTTAACTCTTGATAAAAAGCTGCAAGCCTTTAGAGGGAGGATGACGAAACAATACCGTAATCTCACACAGTATGCTTTTGAACAGACCTTGCTGATGATGTACAGGCATTTCTTTCAATTCCCAAACACTGGAGTTATAAGGAAGATAATCCCTAGTCAACCCCTTCGAGCCAAAGAAGTAGGAGTTTTCTATTCTAAACAATCAAAACCTTTGATATAAACCTGGGGCAGGGTAGTCTCTCAGTTAATTCAAAAAAAAAGGTGCGCATTGAAGTCGCAAACTCTCAGTTCGTAATACAACGAATGACATCAAAAAAGAAAAGCATTCCCTTGGAATCAAAAGACAGTGACGGTTCCCTATCATATAGACAGTCATTACCTCTCAAAAGAGAAAAAAGCCCAATGAGCCAAAACCTGTAAAGGAGGCTTAGGAAAGCTGGGGCATCCCGCTGACTGTGGTCTCGAAAAACAGAGACAGTCAGGCAAAAGTTAGGGATAACAAATCAAAATCAAAATAGAGAGGTCATTACAAATCCTCAACAACATGAAAAATGTTGCAAAGAAAAAAGGAGATGATGACTGTCTCCCAATTCAACTGGTGAACCATCACCCAAAAAGTCGCTCCAAACTCGAATAGAGTGCGACGCACAATTAACTGAGCTTAGGGTTGAAGAACATCACGAAGAGCGGGTGGGTACAAATACGCTTTGAGCCTTTATACTTTGTTTCTTAAACCGTGAACTAGGCCACGTTACAACCCTTCAAAAGTCCTAATTGAAGCATGGGTTAGTTCGAAAGCATACTGTTACAAAAGGTATCCTGACTCCTGTAAGGCTTTGCTCTCAATCTTGTGTTGATTTGTCTTATAAAGGAAAAAGTTTTCTGCTAAAAAACGCATTTTTTAAAACTTCGAGACAAACATAAACTTTGCATTATTTGAATATCACTGTTTGCATTTGGCTACTTGTTTGACAGCGAAGTAATTCATACAGCGAATGTTCGGAGGAACGAAAACTCTCTCAGTGAATAAAATCACTTCAAAAGGACGACACCTCCAACGACAAATCTCCTATCAACAAGGGGCATGACATGTCACCATCCAGCACACCTGGGGAAGTCCAGTCAGAGTTTCAACAGATCTTTCAAAGTTCAGTTAACCTAGGGCAGTCCAGTCAAGATTTCAACAAATCTCTCAAAAGTTCAGTGAACTTGGGGCAAGTCTCCTTTATCACCACTTGGGGCATTCGAATGTCAAAAGTGTCCAAAGATTCCTTCATCACCTGCTGGAAATTACAACCACCAACGGAATAACGACAAATTCCAGATTCGACACCTGTATCTAGCCAGGGCATATCTGTGAGTTTTTGATTGTGGATTCAACACAAGTAATAAGCCAGGAAAATATATGTGGACGACTGATTATGGATTAACACCTGTAACAAGCCAGGAAATTATCTACATGAAGAGATTGAAGATCAACACCTTTAA